TATGCAATTTAGTCCCAAACTTGGGGAAGTGCTTTCAATCAGATGAAGGTTGATCACCATTGAGTATACCCATGGCCGAAAACTTGTATGGTTTCACTGGTGACAGATTGTTCCCAAGGGACAGATTATTATAACAACTGATTTAGGCAAAAATCCAACTATATTCCAGAAACATATGGATTTTATGATCATGGAAATAAGGTCCTTATAACGGGATTCCAGGGAATCCTACCCTGAAGTAGCTGAAAGTAGTAACATCCATTCATCACATGTGCATGAAATTTGAAACTCCAAAAGGATTAGCGAATGTCAAGGATACCCAAAGAGGGTCCCCTAGGGTCACTTGACCCTCCATTTTTATTTATTTATTATTATTATTTTTTTTGCCGTCTTAGTTTTCTGCCTCTAGTGAAACTTTGATGAAAGGTGAGCTTTTCGCCTATGTTGAAATTTTGATAAAAGACGAGTCCTCTTTGCCTACAACGAAATTCTAACCAAAGGCGAGGTCCAATCTACCCAAAAATACGTTGTCTAAATTTTGCCCTCCAAAGGTCAACTACTAAGGGTGATTCCAAATCCGCTATAGCTGGGCGAAACTCCCGAATTGAACTGAACCGGACCCAAATTGAACTGAACTGAATCGAGCGGTTCTTCTTAAATTAAATACTCGAACGTGTATCTAAATCGAGAAACGACGGGTTCGATTCAATTCTCAGTTCTAGATAAAAAATCAAAGAACCGATTCTTCCTAATTTTTAAATTTATTAATTTTAAACAAGTCAAATTATTTCATTTTTTACTAAATAAATTTACTAATTAGTTAATTTAGGTAAAATAAGAAAATGATTTTCCTATTTCTAATTTTCAGTCCAAGCTTAACTTAATTAAATTGACCTAAATTTTATCCAAATAATGTATTCTACTGTAGTGCATTTTTGCCGTTCTGGAGAAATCGAATAAGAATCAATAAAATACCATTAGAATAAGAAAATGAGAAGAATAAAAATTATTCCACTAGATTAAACAGAGGTTGCGGAATTGCAAAAGTCGTACTCTTCGAGAATTGCTCAAATGGTCACTGAACTTTGTAAAAAGTTTCTGCGAGATCGCTGAACTTTAAAAATCATCCAATTCATCACTAAACATTACAAAAGGTTTCCACGAGGTCACTGAATTTTAAAAATCACCTAATTCATCATTGTACTTTCCAAAAGGTTTCCTAGGGATTACTAAATTACCAAAGTTGTAAACTATGAGCTAAAAGGATGGAACAATCTTTTTGTTTCGTGAGCTTTAGAACTCAAGCCAAAATTGGTGCTGCCAAGGTACGAAGATCGCTAAGAGCTTGACCTCTGAGGAGGCCTGGTTTTATACCTACACCAACACATCAAATTGACATAATATCAAAGGTAAAACAAAAAACAAATGGAGAAACAACACCTATTGTATTCGCCATAGAATCGATACATAACAATTGAAGGGTTGGGGTCATTATGTTAAAACCCTCGTTGCATAGGGCAAAGAAAAACTCTACTTCCAATTATTCACTTTATTAGGAGTAATTACAAATTTTGGGCATAGCCTAAAACAAGGCAAAAGGTAGTAATACTCTTTCTGAAGGTTCACTTTGTTTTTCCCTTTCATGGGATGATAAATAGATTGAAATGCATCCGAAGAAAATGCTCCATTTAAACTAGTTGAATTCCACAACAAAAACGATCCAACCATGTGAGTCTTCCCAATAGGAGTAAGTAGTGTAGGAGTAATGTTAAAGGAAGAAAAAACCTCACGATAGAAGTGATGGAAAGAAACTCCAAGTCCCATGTCAATGAGTACAATCAAGAGGATGGCAGTTCGCAGTTAGAAATTGCATGGGGTACAATAATTCTATATCATTAGGAAAGTTAAGTCAATCTTGAATTTCGCAAGATAAGGTTGGTAAAATTTTCAAAGCTTCAAAAACTTCTTCATTACTCTCATTAAGGTTTACTGACTCATTCGAAGGCTCAAGCGCCTCACCACGCACCACAGCACTAGGTTGGAAACTATCCCTTGACTAAGAAGTTCTGGGTTAATGCAAGTACCAGAATGAGTAACTGCAAAGTAAGACAATACCTCAGTATATAATACTTCTACGTACAGAAGAAGAAAAAGAAGTCTAGAAATCTGTGTCAAAATCATAGGATATATTTTTGGAGTCACTAAGAGAAGACATTGTAAAAAAAGACTATATAACTTTAAAGCTTAAACACAAAAGCAAAATAAGAGCAGAACATGTACCTAAGGAATGATTTTGAAGAAAGACAAAAGAATGCGGGAGATACAATATGCCCAACGAGAAAGAACAATGAAGAAAAAAATAATTAAGATACTCACGGAAAGAATGACGTATTTATAGGTTCTAAATGGAAGAGGTAATTTGTTGAATTACGCCAAAACATCGAAGCTGTTTAAATTATTTCAAGCAATCGTAACCGTTAAATACTAAGGAGTGCCAGATTAAAATTCAAAATGAAGGAGCGAGATCGCACATAGTCTACACAAGCGTTAAGTGCACACGAACCACTAACCTAGAAACGTGCAAACAGGCGCATGTATAAAATTGGTTGCGTACACGTCAGCCATAACAAATAAAGAGGAATATGCTCAGGAATTTCTACCTATAAGTTTGCAGTTCAACCATAAATAATTAAACTCGAATTTTGGGGACTAATAAAAAAATTAACAAGTTCTTAATTTAATATGAATAATAAAATCAAACTTTGAGAACTATTTGTTAAATCAAGAAAATTATCTTACGAACTTGTTGTCACGGACCTAGTTTCGTTACACCCGAACAATTAGAACCGTGCGGTCTTAACGCTTGACAATTCCCGCACCTCACAAGAAAATGTTAAGTCAGCATTTTCACGCTCACAAATAATTTAACCAAGGAGACTAAATTATACCCACGTTGAGAAGAGAATTTTGAAGTAAGGGATATATGAAAAACAAGTAAGGTCGAGAAACTTTCTTTATATAAATGAAAGGGAAAACTTTACAATCTCTCCAATAAATAAACTCACTAAACTCTACATTCTCTACCATCTACTACCTAACATTTACTACATTTACTACATACCATTTACAAATGAGACTACATTTCTATTTATATGCAAACTTAAACCTTCTTAACATTCCACGTTACAACTCGTGCTTAATTGTTGCCACCTCGTGCTTAGTTGTCACCAACTCGTGCTTAGTTGTCACCAACTCGTGCTTAGTTGTCGTCAAGTGGATGGTCTTACAACTTGCCTTGCAAGTTGTCGCCAACTCGTGCCAACTCGTGCTTAGCTTGCACCTTCCATAATATCTTTGTCATCTCGTGCATAGCTTGCATCCAACTTGCGCTTAGCTTGCAAGTGGCACACAAGTGGACAAGTTATGCAAGTTGCCCACTTGCATTCTCAAAATATCCCGTTGCAGGTCCATGTATTTTTCTTCTCAAAATGGCTGGGTCGAGACTTAGAAAAACCTCATTAACGCCCTGAAAAATTGCACGATTTAGACAGCCTGCATTCTGCCCCAAAACAATCTACTTGCATCCCTAGCCCGAATCTACCTGCATCCTTTGCCGAATCTGCTTGCGTCCCCTATCGCAAGCTGTTCTGTCTGGCTGAAACGTGTTACCTACGCTATCTTGTGGTCGCTATCGAGACGGATCGAACGCGACCGCGTGGCATAAGTTACTACCCTACTGAATTTGGCGATGCACTCATCGCCTTGTACCGTCGAAGCTTAGACCTTAATTGTCATAAATCTATCTCATTTTCCCACTTAGTGCCATGACATTCTCGTGTCATGCCAAGCCTTAAGTCATGACCTTGCGATCCGTGACATTGTGCTCTCTAAACAAAGTGTAAAAGTACGTGATGGTAGCTAAAATATAGAAAGCTCGTAGAAGCTAGGGGTGAATCATCCTCCTTCCAGGCTGGTGAAGAAATATTATTAAAACATACATGGTAGGTACTTAAAGCATGATTTCCAAACCAATGAACACATGGCATGTAAGATGATGGATAACTCGTGAATGTGTAATAGAATTAGTTACAAAATCCACCATTAAATAATCACCACCAATTATTTTCTAGAATGAGCTAATTGCTCCCGAAACCTTGAAAGACATCTATAAATACTTTAGCCTAATAGAAAGAAGACATGCAAATTCAAATATATCTCTCCCAAATAGCCATTTTCCTTTTTGCTCTTGTCTGAGCATCAAAATAAAAGAGATTAGGAGGAGAAATTTCTGACTAAGTGAAAGGATTTTGTTCGTTATAATTTTATAATCATTACTCCTGTTACTAGGAATGTTGTTCATTTATAAATTCAAGTTTGCACATCAAAAATAGTTTTGTTTTATATTACGACTATGATAATGTTGGTTTCTTGTAAAAAATATTTGCCATTTGGTTTACTGTTTTGTATAATGTGTTAATTTTTGTTACTTATAATGTTCAAATCGTAAATTTACTATTAAAAAATTAATGCTTTTCTATGTTTTAATTCATTGAGCAACGAATAATTAAGTGCTTGTATGTCTTTTCATATTTCCCGATACACATGACAGATATTCAATTAAATCTCAAAGAGTTTGTCCTGTAATTTTACGTGCCGATAGGATTATCAGATAATAATTGAACCAAAATATCATGAAACAGACCGACACATCTGGCTTTAAGAAGTTTAGGAATAAATGCAACTTCTGTAGTGGAAACTTCACCTTCTAATAAGCCATCCAGGATTATTTGTAAGGCGAAATTAATGAGGGCATTTGTTGAGAATAATGGTGATATTGAATCCATTTGTTGGACCCGGAAGGATTGTAGTGAATGAGATTAGTAACGTGATATGAAGTAATGAAGATCACAACGAGAAACATGATTTAAAAGTAAAGAAATTAACAAAGAAAGTTAATCGCAGAAGCATAACGTTTTATTAATCGACAATATGGAGAGAAATACAATAACTCAACAATTTTTGATTGAACAAAAGTGAAAGAGAATACAACTATTTATAAGTATGTGGTATAGCATAAAGATGAAAATAAAGTAAAATAAGAAAATAATATATTTCCATGAAAATCATGCGAAATATAAGGAACATTTATTTCAAAAATAAAAAAAAATAAAAATCCATCCTAATTTGAGTCATAAACCCAACAATTTCCACATTGACCCAAATTCCGGTGCAACGAACGAAACTCCAAGATTTCAAATCCATTTGCATCGAAATAGTCAATCTCTTTAATACAGTAACCAAAATTCTCCAAACCAAACCATAGTCCTCTGCAAGGCATCTACAAGCGACACCTGACTCCAAATCCTGAGTTTCCAAAATTCAACTAAAGAATTACTGTTAACCAAACAGGGTTGAAATACACCCTGTAGCAGAAGCCATATCACATACTCGATTAGAAGACCCATTGCTAGAACTATCGCCTTCAATGGCTCCAAAAGCATTCCAGTCTTTATTGACACCACGGTACCTACGCTCTATGAGTCAAACCCTAGCAAATGAACACGATGTATCCACTGAAATTGTTGGCAAAGCGGAATTACTAATGCTTCTTGAGCAATGTTCTGAAACAATCCAGAGCCCTTCACAATATATACTGTACCAAAATGAATATCTACCACGGTACTGAACTTGTCTCGATGTCTTTTAACTGGTTCCGTGCTTCCCTGCATGATGTACATATGAGACTTCTTCCGTCCATCCAATGCAACCCAAACACCCATTCGGACCTTCAAACTCTACCTCCACCTCCACCAGGGAATTTATACCGTTTTGCGTCTAGAGTACTAAGTGAGATGAGATTCACTTTTATGTCTGGAACATGTCGAACCTGATCAATTGTTCTGACTGTCCCATCTTGCTACCTAAATCTGACTCGACTGATCTCAACAATACAACAAGACTAGTTATTTTTCATTACAACACTACCTTGCTGAGTAGCCTCATATGTCTAAAAGAAACTTCGATTGGAACACATATGATGCGAACACGCCGAATCGAGAATCCACTCCTCGTCAAGCCTAGATTCCACGTCAGAAATCACGATCAACATCACATCTCCGACGTTTGAAAAATTCTCAACTACATTTGTTTTGTCTGAAGTCAAAGGTTGCGCTCCACAATTTGCAGCTAAATCACTTTTAGCCTACATCTTATCACAATCCTTTTGAATATGTCCCTTATGTCTACAGTAAAAGCAAAGCAAATTGCTGTTATTCTTCGATCTGCCCCTCCATCAACCACCATGAGATATATGAACTTCCTCATCCCTTGATGTAGCTCAACCAAATGTTTCAACTTCTCTTTTGAGTGCAAAGCATCATAGACGTCATCTATAGTCAAAGTATCTCTACTATACAAAATGGTGTCACAAAATGATGCATAAGAGTCAGGCAGCGAACATAACAGGATCAAGGCAAGATCCTCTTCATCGTACTTAACCTTCAACGTTTCCAAATCTACGATGATTTCCTTGAACACGACAATATGATCTTCCAACTACTCTCCTTTCGCCATGCGATGTGAATACAACTTCTGCTTTAGAGCCAGTTTATTGCTAAGACTCTTGGTCATACATAATTGCTCCAGTTTCAACCACAAAGTAGCTGTTGTTTTCTCCTTCAATACATCCTTCAAAATATTATTGGATAGATGAAGATAAATCAACGACAAAACCTTCCGATCCCTCCTTTGTTTCTCCTTCATTGTCTAATCAGTTGACATCTTCTCAAAGCCCAATAGCATGTTGTCCAAATTCAACTGCGCCAGAATAGACCCCATATTTACATGCTACAAAGAAAACCTTGTATTGAGATCCAACAGCGGAATGTCATATTTCATGGTAGTCATCTTTAATAAAAACCCAATCAATCCTCAGAAGAAGAACGAAGCTCTGATACCACTTGTTGGACTTGAAATGATTGTAGTGAATGAGATTAATGACACGATATGAAATAATGAAGACCGCAACAAGAAACAAGATTTAAAAGTAAAGAAATTAACAAAGAGAATTAATCGCAGAAGCATAACGTTTTATTAATAGACAATATGGAGAGAAATATAGGAACTCAGGAATTCTTGCTTGAATAAAGTTGAAAGAGAAGACTAATATTTATAGGTACATGACATAGTATAAAGATGGAAATAATTTGTAATAAGGACATAATATATTTTCATAAAAATCACGTAAACTATAAGGAAACAAATTTTCCCACATGAAAATAAGGAAACAATCTATTTCAAAAAATAAAAAAATTCACCTTAATTTGGATCATAAACCCAACACCATTATGGTGAACGATGTTTGCCAGCTGAATAATGGGATTTATATTTCCTTGGAATGGCAATGAAAATAGTACTAAAACGCATCTTTTACCATGTTGCTGCATATTCTGACCATGATTATCCATGATGAAGAGACACTACTGCTCGGCTCAGTATGCTGTTTCTTAATATTCTTTGATCATATGAGATGCAGGTTCAATATATTCAATCAGGCAAGATTTTTTTGGGAAAATTATTGCTTATATTTCCAAACTTTGGGAAATACAGTGCATCTGTCGCCATTCAATTTTTTTTGTGGCACGTGCATATCCAAACTTACGTGTTTAATAAGGTGACGAAAACATAATATGATGAAAAATATGAGTATTTTTTTAGTTAAATACTTAAAAGGTATATATTTGTTGTTAAATGCATAATATGTCTATAAGTTTAAGTTTTTGAAAAACTCGTCATTCTCGATGCGTACCTATAAATAAATGATTACAATGAACTACATTGCATCGAATATGTATACAATATTATATCGATGTATATCCATATAGTTGATAAGTGGTACGGTGAGACAGCTCAACCCAAGTTGGGGATGAGTTAATTTTAATTTTATCTTTTCTAAGTATTTTATCATTTTTATTAAAAAAAAAAATATCACCATTATTAGTCATGGCACTTCAAATAGGGGTGGCCATTGGCCGTGCCCATCAAAAGCCAATTTGGCGGCGAAAATTCTGTACAGAGAATAACTGAAATGTGGAGGGGAAAAAAAACATTTGGGTGGTTGAAGTTCACTCTATAGAGATGACATTTCAATGGTTGAAGTTCACTCTGTGAAGATTACATTTCAATGGTTGAAGTTCACTTTATAAAAGTAAGATTCCTTAACCATTACACCTTGAATTAAGCTCACCGTACATATGATTTTTATAGGACTTTTAACAGATTTACAGGTGGTAACACTGTATTAACTGGTTGAACCATTTTTTTTCCAATTAAATTTTGATGGTTGGCAATCTATCAATAAAATTGTCAATTAGCCATGTACATATAACAAGATTGTTACACCTTTTTCAAATCAGGAAGCATCAATTCCTTGATATTCCCATGTATTTCATATTAGGCCTGAAAAAATATTAAAAACAAAGAATAAATATGCAAAATGATTAATGTGAAACGTAAAATTAGAGAGGAATGACATATGGTTAAACACAAATATTTCACTATATCAAAAATTGTTACAATCATATAAAATTTCTCACCTAATTCTTCAAGTATAATAAGAAAAATAACCTAAGTTTTACGATACTCGCATATTCTACTCTTTGTACAAACTCCAAAAGAAAGGGGGGGGACCCTTAAAATGATAGGCTTACAATTTTTATTTTCAAAAAATTCGTTTTACGTATTACCAAAAAGAAAATCAATTTCAATTCATAAAGATAAATTGCTGAATTATTCGACCTATAAACGGGAATGAATTTACGTCCCATATTTCCATTATAATGCAGAAACAATTTTCATTAACTATAAATAGTAAATGATTAGATTTGCATGGGGTGATGTAGCCAATAGATCTCAGATCATCTTGCATCCATGTAAGCCTTTAGTTCTGCAAACTTAGACAAACCCGTGAGTCACAAGTAGCCTTTCTTGAAGTGGGGAAGAAGGTCACGTGCAGTATGACAATCAAGTCAGTCAATGTATATGTAAAGGAGTATTGGAAGTGCTATAGACATGAGCTATTAAGTATAAAAAGGTCAAATCCGGGTGGGTATTAAGTTGGTATACTGAGAGCAAATTTATAGATTCGAGAGTATAAAGTTCCATTACTTTCAAATGATACAATGTGCAAGCTTTCCTAGTAGTCGAGAAAATAAAAACCATTGGAGGAAGTGACACGCGACATCATCTTGATAGTGAGGTTTGTCTTCTTCTAGGTGTCACTTCATCAATATTAGGCTTATGGGCATTTAACGCCTTCGAAGAGTAGCCATTCTAAAGCTTAGTCTGACTTTTGAAATATAGACTGACAATTTCACCTTTTAGGTGCATGCTGTAGACACCTCATATCAATCAATCATAGGTAAATCTCATACGGAAGATCTATTTGGAAGAAGTGATATGGGATGTCCCTTTTATCAATGTGGAGGCTATCTGCCTTACACTTCCTCCTTACATCACGCATGGCACTTCACCTAGGACATGGAGGTTGACCTCGATATGGCATCTCAGTTGAAGTGATGCATCACCTTACCTACCTTATATGTGGCCTCACCTTGTCCAAGTAGGTGGTGACTTGAAATGTTGGCCTAGTTGATTTACTTAGTTGGATGCCACGTTCGTGATAACCTGGGGTCTCTTCAAAAGAGACGCTATACATTTCTTTCGTTTTCACAACTTTCCTATCATAACATTCCCAGTGAAATTCTGGGGTATTAAGCCCTTATTTAACAACCATTATTTGAAAAGTTTTTTTTTTTACATGTTTATTTTTAATCACATATTCACACAATAAAATATTCTGTATGTAAATTTAAAACTTTTTTCTTACTTTTCAGCCACATATTCTCCTAAAAATTTCCATTCTAAATATTGTTTTTTCCAAGTAATGATTGTCAAACAGGGGCTAAGTCTTTAACTCGATTGAATTGCACTAGTAAAGAAGAACAAAAATTAATTAAAATGTTGGCATCACATCCTAAATATATGTTTAATTCGAAAATTAAGATTATGTTGGAAGTTGCGTTCTTATATATAATTTAATTTTCTATAGAAATATTTCCATGTTTTAGCAACTTAATATAAATGATTGCAATTTAGATTTAATGTAAGTTGAAAAACTTTTGATCTGCGTGACTTTCAATGTGTACTACTAATTCAAATCATTAACCATGTTCATGATGTGCTTGACGATGATAGCATTGGTAACCTACCCGTTAAAGCCATGCATGTATTTTGATGAACACGAGTGTTGGGATTCATGCTTGTGAAACCTGAATATATACAATCGCCAAATTTGTCATACTTGCCATTTAAAATTTTGTATTAACATACACTAGTGTTAGGGCAAATGAAATCGATTTCATCACCTTGAATTGGAATTAGATCTAGCATGTAATGTTTGTATCGTGTATGTGGCTCATATAGAGTGGAATACAAGTTTACCGGATCAAATAGGGCTCAATTAGGAGCAGAGTAATAGTATCGGTCTTGTAGGTTTTAATTCATTCTTTGTTTGCTAGGGGATGCTGAAGAGGTTAAGGGTGCGGGACAATGCCCTCGCGGTACGGTGCATGGGTATTTTCTTGTACGAGACTTAAAGTCTAATAATAAATACTAATAATTTAACCTTATTATTCATATTTGATAAAAATTATCTCTGCTTCGCTCTTTATGGACATAGGCATATTGTCGAACTACATAAATACTTGTGTTGATTCCTCTCTTTCATTTCCTTATTATTGTGCATAAAATTCAACAAGTGGTATTAGAGTGCCAGGTTTAGATAGCAAGTTCTTTGATTGCAAAATTAAATTATGGCAGTAAAGGGTGAAGGATTTGTTGGTGTAGCAAAGAATGGTGAAGGCCCTATCTAGGAAGAAACTAGAGAGTATGTCAGATGTCGATTGGGAAGAGCTCGAGGCACAAGCAGTGGATATAATTTAGCTCTGTTTGGCTGACGAGATCATGCATCACATCATGGACGTTGAGTCATTAACAGAGGTTTGGTAAAAATTGGAGAGACATTATATGTCGAAGTCTTTCACAAAAAGCAGCGACTATACAAGTTCAAGATGCTGAAGGGTACAAATTTGATTCAACACATCAATGTGTTTAATCAAATTATTGATGATTTGTTGCAACTTGAAACCAAGTTTGAAGACGAAGACAAGGTAATGATATTGCTGTGCTCTCTTCCTTCTTTTGTACGACTACTTGGTGATCATGTTGACATGGGGTAAAAAGACTCTCGAATTGGAAGAAGTCACATCAACCCTGTTAAAGTTCACAATGTGAAGGGTTGATTGTGAAAGACTACTATGATCATGGGAGAAAGAAGGACCAGAGTAGTTCTAACAAAGGGAATACAAGATCAAAATCCAAGAATCAAAATAAGAAAAATATCAAGTGTTGCAAGTGCCATTAGATAAGTCACTTTAAGAAGGACTGTCCGAATACGAAGCAACGTGATGAAAGAAAATGTGATAGGTCCTCAAACTCAGCTAATGTTGCAGAATGAGACTTAGATTCTAGAGATGGAGTTATGTTATCAGTCTCTACAGGTAATTCTGACAGATTACATGACTGTTGGGTACTTGATTCAACCTAATCGTATCACATGTGTCCTTATCGAGATTGATTTGATTCATATCATTTGGGTAATTTTGGATTATTTCTTATGGGTAATGATGCGTCATATAAGGTAGTTGGAATGGGATTCATAAAATTTAAAATGTTTTATGGTGTGGTAAGGACTTTGGAGGATGTAAGTTAACTTGCCCACGTGTTGAGAAAGAACTTGATTTCTTTAGGCACTCTAGACATTAGCATCTGTTCTTATAAGTACGATGGTAGGGCTTTAATAGTGAAGAAATGGGTTATGATTGTGATGAAAGGTCAGAAATTGGAAGGAAACATCAACAAACTAATGAGAAATATAATTGTAGATGAAGTTGCTACAGTAGAATCTAAGTCAGACAACACTTTTTTATGACATATACGATCGGGGCATATAGGAAAATGTGGTATGATTGAGCTTCACAAGAGAAATTTGTTGAAATGGGTAAAATCATGCAAGTTAGATTTCTGTAAGTCTTGTGTGCTTGGAAAATAGTCCAGAATACAATTCAAGATGGGAAAGCATAAGACGGAGAGCATTCTTGATTATGTGCATTCTAATATTTGTGGACCAGTGAGGGAGTTGATCAAAGGTGGTTCTCAGTATTTCATTGATAACTTCGGTAGAAAAATTTAGGTACATTTCATGAAGCACAAGTATGGAGGAAATTGAGTCACAACATAAAAATGATAATTGAGATTTGATGGAGCTTCCAAAGGGAAAAAAAATCGATAGGGTGTAAGTAGGTATCCACAATAAAAGAAGCAATGTCAAAAAAAGGAATGAGAAAGATACAAGGCTTGATTTGTAGCAAAGGGATACTCATAGAGGTAAGGAGTAAATTATGATAAAATTTTCTCTCCAGTCGTTAGACACACTTTCATCGGGGTTATCTTGGCAATGGTGGCTAGTTTTGAATTAGAGTTAGAGTAACTGGATGTAAAGACTCTTTCTTTCATGGTGATTTAGAGGAGCAGATTTTCATGCAGCAGCTAGAGGCGTTCTTGGAACCCGAAATAGAGAATCGTGTATTTAAACTGAAGAAGTCTTTAGATGGGCTTAAACAATCTCTATGACAATGGTACAAGAAGTTCGACTCCTACATGATTCAGATTGGTTATAGTTGCTATGAGTATGAATGTTATATTTACTATAGAGTTCTTGAGGATGATTCATATATTTTCATGATGTTGTATGTGGATGACATGCTAATTGCTGTTAAGAGCATGAATGAACTAGATAGAGTGAAGTCTTTGCTGAGCAGTGAGTTCAAATTTAAAAAGACTTGGGACTGGCTAATAAGATTTTTGGTATGAAGATCAACATAGATAGGAATGCCAGAATATTATGGGTGTGTTAGAAAAATTATTTGAAGAAAGTATTGGAGAGGTTCAACATGTCTGATGCAAAACTAGTAGGTAGACCATTGGCAAATCTCTTCAGATTTTCTAGTAGTATCAGTGTTCAAAGAATGAAGAAGAAATTGCAGAGAATTTTCTTTAACTTACCCACTAAAGCTATAGCGTGGACAAGTAATTGGAAAAATAATTCAAACTCAGTTAATACTTGAAAATGAATTAGAATTCAAAGACAAACTTTAAATAAGAGCATATTCAAGTGACTACCTAAAATACAAAATGGTCTATATTTTGGAGAGTAATACTTAAAAATGAGCTCTCAAAGATTTTCGATTTTAACTTTTAGAAAATAAAGTGTTGCTTTAAAAAGCCAACTTCTAACTTTATAATAATTGTATTTAATAAGTTTAACCTTCAATACTCTCCTTAAATTATTTAAAAGATATTTGAATTTGTTGACCATTAAAAATATGTTCAATAAAAGATGATGAGAAATCAATAAATATTTCTTGAAAATGCAAAATGAAGAGTCAAAATAAAGAGTATTATTGAAGTATGTAAAAAAATTTACTATCTAGTTTAAAGATATTATCTATTATGTATAAGATGCTTATACTTTTTATAAACAAAGAGCCATTTGAAAATATGCTAATTCTATTTTGCACTACTATTGTTACAAAATTAATATAGGTGCATTAAGTGAGATTAAATGATAAAATTTAATTAAACGAATCTCATAATTTTACTTCTAATAAGCAACACTGCTATTGTTACAAAAGTAATATAGGTGGAGATTAAATGATAAGCTTAATCAAATGAATCAAATAAATTTACTGGTAATTATGCTTATTACTATGTTTACAAGAGTAATATAGATGCATTAAGTTGAATTAAATGAATCTCATAAATTTACTTTTAATTATGCTTATTACTTGATATTTATGAAGATTTTGTAACACCAATAATCCACTCTATCATTGTTGCACAAACTTCGCATGGCATCCGGACTTTTAATGCATCGGGAAACTTCTATTATCACCTTTTCCCTGAGAGCTTGTCGGATTGTATTTGAAGCAGCCAAGTTGAGTTGAATTAAATAATAAAATATCTACAACGTGGAAAATGCGCTCCAAGTGTATTGTGATTTCGACACGTAGCACATAAATTGATCGGTGGTTAATGGAGACAAATGCCAGTTGTTCTGGAGATATATATACTTTTAATTTAATTTAATTTATGTTTTTCCGGATATCACTATTATAATCATTACACATCAAATAGGGGGCGACAATCGATCAAACAATTTGGCGCATGGGCTGACCACCCATGCTCAGCTTGGCACTTGGTC